CCTCGACAGTTAATACCACGAAATTTAACCGCAGGCTTATTCGTTGTAGCGCGATAGTTGATATTACGCTTCTTAAGCTAGAGTTGTTGTTGTTGTTGTTGTTGTTGTTGATTTCATAGAGACTGATGTTTATTAAGCCGAAACATGAGCGAAACGAATATCAAAGTAATGTTGATACAAAACTGAAGAGTGTCTGAATAGCTTTCAGTGGGTGCTCAGTGAGTCCTTTGTTAAAATTGGATCCAACTCGTTTCAAAGATGAACGTGTTGAAAACGAATGCATTTTTATTATATCAAAAATTTTAAATAGTCGCATACGCGCGCGCGCGCATACGCATAGTGCATATCGCATCGCGTCGATGCCTCTTTCGCTCGATTAATTAAGCAACGATTAATCGTCCTCACCACACACAAAGACACACACAAACGAAAAGTCGTCACCAAACTACACATTGTCATTTCGACGACCCGGAGACAGAGGATGACGACCAGAGGAGAGGAGAGGAGAGGAGAGGAGAGGAGAGGAGAGGAGAGGAGAGGAGAGGAGAGGAGAGGAGAAGAGAGGAGAGGAGAGGAGAGGAGAGGAGAGGAGAGGAGAGAAGAGAGGAGAGGAGAGCGTCATTTGCGTTAGTGCATTGCGAGAGTGCTGTATGCGTGTGAGAGACCGATGCCATCGAGTTCGTTGCCTCAGAGCGGCGCTGTGCGCTATTTTATTAAATTATTAATTTGCTGCTTCGAGACGTTGCATGACGAGTGCAGTGACACGCTTCAAGGACGCGCCCCTCCTATGTGCTATATGCCTCATACACAAGACTGCGATCCGTGACAAATTGTCGAACGAACAATAATACGCATCACTTGCTCCGCAATTATTCTTATATTCGATTAGTCATTCCGTGGCCTGAAATCGTCTGATTCGTCTGGTTCGATCTCAAATCCCCACAAAGCTGCAAGAGGCCATTCCTCGGCTTCCTCGGCTGGGGGATACGGGCCAACTATCCACAATTTCGATGCAAAGTTGTTTCTGTTGGTTATCTCAAAGCGGTTAGAAAGGCTTCGCAATCCTCTACTGAACGTTACAACGATTCTCTCAAACGAGTCCCGCGTTTGAGATGTTTCTTATCGAGAGATTGATTACATCTCTCGGTATCGTGCGCGGTCATATCGGAACGTCATATCGAAAATTTTCGCTGGAGGAGCTATATGTCTAATATTTAAGAGAGAACGATCGATCATTGTACATATAGTCGCTCTTTTGAAACGACTTCACCGTCGTTCCGTACGTACCGTCGTCGTCTTGGTTTTCGTATGATGTTCCTCGGTCTCTCGGTGTCTCGTAAAGTAGTAAACGAGATAGCTTCCCAAGGGCGACCGCGATCACCACCAATTATTGATCTTTTGAAAGAGGTTTCCGGGTCTCGTTCGCAAACACTCCAGGCGAAACTTGAGTGGGTGAAACGGCTGAGACGGGTGATGACGCCGTCGACAATGCATGTCGTAGTGCTGCAGGATGCCTCGGACAGCTTGAGTAAGTAGACGGAATTGAATCGGCGAAGAACTTGCGCGAGACATTACGCGAGTCGCTTAATATTCGCTTGATATAGTTTTTATATTGATAGATTGCTGCATCCATTTGGTCGAATTAGTCGATTAGTCAATGCTCGCAACATTTGCAATTTCGAAGAAGCTGCTAGCTCGCAGATTCATCCAGAGTCATCCATGCGTGCGTGCGTGCGTGCGTGCGTGCGTGCGTGCGTGCGTGCGTATGTATATCGAGTAGAGTATGGATTATTAGCGAAAGAATTACCCATATTCTCGATCAAACAATTTCACTCACAATAATATTTCTCTCTCATATGCTGAAGAATTAAGCCGGAGCGCATACGCGCAGCATGTATTATACTAATTCATTCACCTTCGCAAATCGTACCTTTGCGATTGACGTCGATGATATTGAAGATGGAGATATAATCTATATCGATAAATTCGATATAGGATTCGAGATAGGATTCGTGCGTTTGTCCTAGCGTCAGATGGGTGCATATTCTTTTCGTATCGGCATTTCTCTGGGTATCGCCAGTTCTATATAACTCCTCCTCTATGTCGTTCTTTCGAAGGATGCAATTTATGCGATAAAAAACGTGACAAAGTTAGCCGCAATGAGTCGAAAGTGCAAGTGGCGTGCATATGCCGTCCACGGTCCAAGTAGATAATGATCTGGATATAAAGACTTACAAAGTACGGCACGCGAAATTGCTTTACGTCGCGCTGCTTCCCTTTCAACTGGACAGTCTCGACAGTGTCTCGCGTCCTGAAAACAGTCTGAGAGATTCGTTTCTTCGAGTTTTCAAGCTCGCGACAATTATACAATTATAGAATTGCACTGCTCTGTGACGCGATCGGTAGAGCGCGACAAGAAATTTGCTACGCGGATCGAGAGAATAGTGCTTGATAAGTGTCGTATATATATCGTATATATCGTATATCCTATATATCGTGTATATATATATATATATATATATATATATATATCGTATATATCGTATATATCGTATACATCGTATACATCGTATATATCATATATATCGTATATATCGTATATATACATATCTGTCGATCAATCTAAACTCTGTAAATATATAGAAAGCGGTTAGAGCACCGTCTAGTAAGTAGTCGTTATGCTTGCGCTTGCGTTTGCGCTTACGGTTAGTTATAGTTGCAACATCTGTTTCTTCTATTTGATATCCATTTCCTCGTATCTCGTTCAGTATCGAGTGCACGAGACGGCGCATCGGCTTAGTGATTATAACGAGGATACTACATAGAAAAAGGCTAGAATAAAAACGGACAGCAGGTCTGCATGTGTAGGTGGGGTTAAACTTAAGGGACAGCCAAGGCGAAGGCAAGATTTGTTCGCAAGATTCCGTAACGTAAAACGCCAGTAGTTAGCGACCTAAATCTGTATTTCCGTCTACGCGAGTCATACGTAATCAGCACTATCAGCGCTGGCGTAGGAACGATAAATGGACGCGATGCACGCGCTATTCGTTCTAATCGACCGGACGAAAGTAAGCCATCCGCCTTTGCGCCCGACGCTCTTGTCCTTCCCTTTCGTGAGTCCGTGGATTACTTCCGCCATCTGCCGCTAGTCTAGCCATTAGCGATCGTTACTATCGATTTGTTCCTTCGAGATTTAATTGTCGCGCGCTCGCGCAAATTCGCGGCCGTAGAGAAAGAAGAATATGCGTATCGACGGAACATTCATATCATTGAGAGCAACATTGCGAGGAGCCAAACGCCACTTGCTGCCTGGGCTATAGGTTACGTAGTCTATTGACTTTATATTAGTTATCGACTAAGGCTTCGCTTTCGCTGTTTCGCTTTCGACGATTACGATTGATACGATTGATAGTGCGTGCGCGCGCGCGCGCACAATTTGACGTCGAGACAAAGAAAAATCGTTTCGATCGTTCATACC